TTATCAGTTGTTAAGAACATATATGGTAACATTTCGCATAACGTGAATGCAGCTTTCCAGAAAACATTTTACTTAATGAACTATTACGTTATGTGGAAGAGCGTGTAAAAATATCCTACCCATTCACTAAACAACACCTGTTTTTACTAGTAATCATATTTTATTCTCGTAATCAATGTCATTCAATACACTGCTAGCGCAAAATTTCGCATGCACAGTTCCTAAAAAAGACATTGATTCAACGGCTGCATTAGAGAACATACAAACGAGATCCTCAGAGTTGACACTGCAGCTACAGGTTAACACGATTCATAATGAAAATGTAACAATAAACCTTTAAGACGATAAAAAAATCCGTGATCGCAAACGATTATCCAACTTTTTTAAATTTTGCATTATTTAACCCTTTCGCGATAACGCCAAATCTGTGCGGTTGACACTTGAGACGACACATAATCTTCGATCGTTGCGATGCGCATTGTAATCAATACACAGTGGCCACACTACCAGCTGAAAAGGCACCGCGCAAAAGTGCTTTCTATTTTTCGCCTATAACTCGATTCCTTCGCGTATTTTCCGTGGCTCTTCGATCTACACTCAATTTGACAATCCTTGTATACAATCCTCTACAACTACATTTTCTGCATAGACTTAGCTATTTTCCTAAAGAAAATTCTGCTTTATGTATATAAACTAGATTTCGTGCTACTATTAAAACAAAAAAGAGATTTTTTTTTAGTGTACAAGTTAGAACGAGAAGGTAAAGGAACCATAGCACAGTCTACCAGGACGATATTGAATGCTAATAATAAATAATTTTTAGAAATTAGCAGGGTCTCCATGTGCAAATAGAATATTTCTGTCAATACCTGATTAGTCTCCTTCAAAAAGTAAGCTTTCGTAAAACACTATTAAAAACATCACTATCACAGAAAAAAACGGATGGCTAGCGTATTGTTTTAGCAAGTGATACAATATCTTAGAAACCAACTTCCAATAGACCTTGGTAACAATAATCAATAACTTTATGTATGACGAGCACGCACGAAGTTGTTATAAAAAACTTATTCGGCTAGCATTTCAGCGCCTTCGTCTTCTTCAAAGCCGCACTGGTCCGAGTCGATGATCCACAGTTAGGCGATGTCGCGATATGGGTGTTCGCAGTCGGACGGTATCGAATCCAGTGGAAAGAGCACTGCTCGAACAAGAAACATCACCCAGTGGTATCCTTTTTTACTCACCTTGCAATATGATCTGCATTTTGATCGTAATGCGCCCTGTAGCGGTCTGCACATATTTCGAAACCGACTTTCCTTGAACTTCGGTATCACTAATCAATATGTATTCTTTCTTTGATGAGCTTACACGAGGTTGATAATGATATTTATTCTCGGCTAACGTTTCGACGTCTTCGTCTTCCTCAGAGTCCATGGTCCACGCCTGTTATTCGTCAATTTGCTGGTACGTAACGTGCCAATATCTTGCAGATCGACTTCCATAAAACCTCGGTGACAATAGACAGTAACTTACAAATTTCTTTGATAATCAAATATGAGGTTGTCATCACAGTATTTATCCCTATACAATAGCTGACGCTTCGCCAGTTTCTTCTTCTTTAGAGCATATTATTTTACTCTAAAGGTGATCCTCCAAATACTGAACACAATGGACTCCTCCGACACGTACTCTTTCAATTCGGCGCACATATCGGCCTGCTTGCATCGAAAAGGCGCACGTAGTCGTATTTCGATTTCCACGACTTAGTTGTGTTCTGCTAGACCTCCTGTCTAGTCAAGTCGCTTTCGATTTGTGAACTTCGGCACCATTCGGTGTTGAATGCGAGTTGCCTAGTTAAGTGAAACTGTTTTACTAATGTCGGTTGTGACAATTCTACTGACGTTAGTTGTTATATTTCCCAGGATTGAATTTCTATTAAACTCGGCATTAGATTATAAATGCACCGGTTTCTTCACTATCAATCGCGAGATTACACGCCTACAGCACACTTTTCTTTCGCATATATAACGTCGCATTAGCTGACGCTTCGGAAGCATTGCGTTCTTCAGAGGGAGCTGATCTCCAAAGGTGAGATGCGAATTACAAAGCACGAACATCCTTCTTCGCCACACCGTTTCTTATTGTAGCGAACATTTCGTTCTGCTTCTTTTGTAATGCAGGTCGAACTAGTTCCATTTGGAAGCACGGCACTTGTAGGCTATGCTATGGTTGATTGCATATCTCGGGTAGTCGTTCTTTTTTGATGAAGTTTCTTCGCGACTCAGTGTTTTAAGCAGTGGCGAATAAACAATACCGTTTGTCTAGCTAAGACGATCTTCTGTCGCAGTGACAAGACTTCTTTTATAAGTCGAAAGTATCACAATGGCATACCTTTTGTAACTCACAATACCGACATTGTTTTAACCTCAGTATTGATCAGTACTTCGTTACGCAAACACGAGGTTGGTACTGCAGCACTTATTAACAGCGAATAGCTGAAGTTTTGGCGGATTCTCACCCTTTAATAATGAATAATTTTCTACATGACTGAGCTGATATGAGATTGGTACAAATGACTTATTCGGTGAAATGTCGGCGCCTTCGCCTTCTTCAGAGCCACATTGTTCCATACGAATGCTATCGATGTAGCAGTGACATCCTTTTTTGCAGCAGTGCATGTTCCGTATCCATGCTATTCAATGTAACAGTGATATCCTTTTCCGCAACAATGCATGTCAATTATCAATGCTAGCCCATGTAGCAGTGATATCCTTTTCCGCAACAATGCATGTCCCTTATCAATGCTAGCCCATGTAGCAGTGATATCCTTTTCCGCAACAATGCATGCCAATTATCAATGCTGGTCCATGTAGCAGTGATAACCTTCTCCGCAACACTGCACCTTATTTACTTTCAAGTGCAGTAGTTGGGAAATGCAGTGATAGCTCTGTCTTGGCAACAATGCACCTTGTTTACTTTTAAATGGCGTAGGCAAAAAGTGCACTGGTAGCAGTTTCTCCAGCAGTGCACCTTGTTTACTTCCAAAGGTGGAAAGTGGATGAGTTTCCAGATGTTCAGCCACATTTTTACCCCACCTTAGTTAATGTGTGCCGTGAGTCACGATTTGAAAAGAATGTGCTGAAGCACAATGACTTATGCTATGGATAGGGTGAGCACAAGCCTATCCCATGTGACGTCACGTAAAGTAACAAATGCCAAAAGAAAAATCCAAATTTTCCGATATTTTGTCCGCTCTCCTTGGCTTTTCTTATTCCTTCATTGAAGAGTCGAAAAGAAATTTATAGATGGTGGTGTTCGATGGTGACCCGGATGGTGTAGAGGTGAAGCGCGCTGCTCCCCGGTAAGGACAACAGCGCGTGTTCGTTCCCCACTGCATACACCTGTGGTCCGGAGTTTTGCAAATATCTCAGCATTTCATACGAGTTATAATTCAAAACATACCCTGCCATTAAGAAGAAAAGGCAGTAAATAAAAGAGTTAAAATTTATGGAAGGAATTATTCATCGTTGCAGTTTACTTCCTCCTGCGAAAAGTGGGTAGCGATTGATGATACTGGGTAAATTCTTTGTAAGACAAATGTTAAGGTGGTAGTGGTAGAAGGTGCACACTTTTAAATAAATGTTTTTAAAGGTTATGGTTACAAATAACTTCGATACTTGGGTACTTGAATTCCCGTCTTCACCGACTGCCAGCGGCATCATAAATTGCATTCTTCGGAATTTTGCGGGTTCAGTCACTGTAGTTACCCATAGTCCCCAGGTCAGCCAAGCCAATGAAGTCAATGTCCGCCCAAGGTCATCACCACCACAGGTAGTCGCCGTCTTTGTGGATCGGAGGGATAGTTGCCAACACGCGAAAAAGTTGGAAGTAGGACGGCGGTGGAGATCATGGGGTTGGTATACTCCTAGCTGGACTTCCTGGTGGAAACTCCGCGCTTACCTTGCCGGGAGGATAAATCCCCTGCAGTACATCGCGGTGCGATACCCAGGAACACCTCCCAGCAACGATGAGACGATAAACCATTGGGAGATATGTTTACGACAGAAAAATATTACGAGGAAATGACCTACGAATGGGAATTGCTCCCAAGATGTTCTTTCTGCACACACAGACTACATCTCCAAGGACGTTTCCTTTAGGGCTTATAGATTGTAAAATAAGTACATTTTATTCTAACGTTTAAAACTTCAGCGAAAGTTTGCAAGAATTCGAGTTGAAATCTACGCTCCTTGTATAGATATAGTCTACAATTTAACAAACACCGGCGACATGCAAGCGCATGGTTTCCGTGTATTATAAACACGTTCACAGAAGCAGCTGCTTGATTTGTCAGGTCACCGTAAATGAAAAAAGCCCCCAAATTCAGAATTTAGTGTATGTGGGCAATAGATATGCCTCTTAGTGTTCGCCATAGAATTCAGATTAACGAGCCAACCAATCCTAAAATCGATTTTTCGCAATCTATTGCACGTTGAGAATGGCTTCCATTGGCTAAGCCTCAGCGTCAACTAGGCTTCCGACGAACAAGCGATTGATCAGCAAAAACTGTTGCTAAAGAAACCGGCGAAATAAATGTGCATCGAGCTCAATACGCACCGTCCCAATTGCCCACTACATTTCAAAACCAAAACGCACCATCGCGAAACGGCCAATAGTAGAAAAATCAACTGTTGCTAAATGCTATTTCAATACATGAAATAAAAATTGGTAAAGCCCAAGAATCTTATTGAAAATGCATAACAAATAGGCATGATTCAGCCATATTTCTAATTTGAGACAAAAACTTCAAGTGTTCAGAAAAGGAGTTAATAATGAAGTAAGAATAAAACAACATGAACAGACGTTAGGAACACTATTAGTTGTTTGGAACAACTAAAACACTTCGACAAATGTTGGAAAAAAAAAAGAAGGAGCTAGTGAAACAACAAACAAAATAAAAAGATCACGTATGGAACCTCACCGAGATTTCCATAGCGGGAAAGCTAGAATTCCCTCAGATTTTTCGCAGCTGCTTCCACATCCTTTGCAATGATCTAGAGAAAGAGTGGTTGAATTCATATGCTTATGGTAAAAACCACAGGCTAATTCCGTAGAAACTTATTGATGGAATGAACAATAGCACTAATCATGTATTGCAACGACTTTCATCATCACCAACCTTTCGAATACTCTCGATAGTTGGACTTTCTCCAGCGAGATCGGCGAGAATTTCGGTTGCACGATGGATCCAGGCTGAATTGCACTGCACTACGTATTGTAAAATTTGTCAGCAGCATGACGCTCGGCAGCTGCAAGACTAATGCTTAGTGGTTTAAAGGCACAATGAACCTATGTACCTTCAAAACCGCTGCATCTCCAGTTCTCGATGGCAGATACGGCCAGTGAGACAGTCTTGGAAGCATGGCCGCTGTCAGCTATTATGCAAACACCAGCGAGTTCAGTGTGCTCGTGTGCGGCTTGGAAGGTTGATGCAGTACCATTTCCAGGAAGTGCACAGAGAATAGAAGCATTCCCAGGAGGTCTGGAAGATCTGCACTTTTCACTACGGGAAAGCATTAACAATGAACATCAACTCAACTACCAACTTACCACAAGATGCAAGTAACATCGGCCATGCAATGCTCAACGCCACTCCCTCGTCAGTGAGCAGAGTACGCGCCAATGAGCTCCCAGAAAGACTATTCCAATCTTCACCCTCTATAGAATATTCGTTAATGGTAGCCCAGCGGTTACATCCAGACACACTCACTTTTTTTAGAAACTGAACTCAAAGAGCCTTTTTCTAGAACGCGAGAACACTCGACGAAGGATTGAAATCACAGTGCCTTGTTATGGTGAGGATCATCATCGATCTTCTTGCCAGTATGTGAGCATAGTTCTCTTAGCGCAGCACCATACGCACAAGTTTGAAATTTATTCCACTTAAACTTGCTTGTTCAGTAATGAGGCACTCGATCTAAAAAACAAATCCTCCTTTAGTGCTAAACACGACCTCACTCAAAATATTTTCTTCCCTCGAAAATATTATTATAGACGTACAGAGAGTTCGGCTAGTGTCTTGTAGCTAAAACCGCGGATGACCGCTTTGAAAGGGTACACGGATCACGCAAGCATATGCCTCTTTGTAGGTGTTCTGTACTGTAAGAGTAGGAATAACCTGGAAGAAGACTAGTAGATCTTTTACGGTACAATAATTGACGATCATAGATAACCACTGCTCACTCACCCTTTCATATTCTCATGGCTTGGAATTGTTGATCACTGAGACCGAGAACTGAAATCAGAACAGATGTCTAGTCAGGTGGCAAAGCAAGTGGCACCTCGTAAAGATCTCGCATCTAAAATGGGTTCTAGAAGAATAAATTGTAATAAGAACTTCCTGAGACCGACTTTCTGTTAGCCTCGGCATTGATTGATAATTTGATGTTTTTCTTCAATAAGCAGACACGAGGTTGTTATTATAGAATTTATAACACGGAAAGCACGGAAAGCATCTCGGAAAAAAGACCACTGATAACTACAGGTATTACAGTGCTAATTCCGGAAACAAACTATGGCCACGGAAGACTCTGCAACATTAATTATTATTGTAGTTGTAAGAAAGCTCAGACACCTGCCGATTCCAAACAGTTCGGCGCCGAACACAAAGTAATCACGCAACAATTACTACCTCTGGTGATTAGTAGAAAACAATGCTCTGATAAGAGCAGTCAATAGGTGGATTATTAGAATTGTAAGGACTATACTGTTTCATGCAAACACTAACCGTCAAGGTAATTTTACAAACAAATGCCCTAATTACTTCTTTTATAATCAGTGATCAAAAAAGACTCAAAGTCCTCGGCGTTGATCTATCCCTGAGTGACGCTCCACTCATTCGACTTCAATGAGCCCTGTTGGAGTATCGTCGGTGTACCTTGAACACTAAATGAACATGGAGAACAACATGAACGGTTAATAAGACAGAAGAAGGACAGCAGCATGGGCCGAATTTGGGCCACTCCAAAAAGCCACTCACTAACTAACAAACACAAAACTGCGCGCACTCCTTCTCGATTAAACAACCTTCCCAGAGCTCTGTTATGCAGCAAACACGCCAGCTTGGACCTCACCCATGTCAAGAGTACTTCGTGCTACATAAGGGCTTGAACGATGTCTTCTGAAACTGAACCGGCACTCACAATCACCAGCGGAAATGCGCAACTCAGGTATTCGAAACTTGTCCCATCTTCGAGATCCAGGAGAACATACATCAACAACAAAATAGAGGTGAGCCTGTCACATAATGAGAAGTGATGAGAGATGGTAGAAAAGCGAAGTGGAGTGAACTACCAGAATAACAACGTCCTCTTAAAAAATCGCCCAAACGATGTGCGGATGTGCTCTTGTTTGACGTTAACCATCTGCACTTGCAAACAGCAAGGATTTGAGGATTAAGGAATGGCCCTCATGGAAGTCAAAAAAAAAAATCACACTCGGAGCAAATCACAACCATGGCCGTGGACTGCACGAGAAGGAATAGAATGGAAACTTTGCTGAAGCCCGTACAACCAATAAAGATAGGCCATCTAAGTATCCAAGTAAGTATTTAAGTTACCTTATATTGCTGTCCTCACAATTATTTCACGAAGTTTTCCCTAATTTGAATAAACAATGCTGGCACAGTTGTGATTTCTATTAGTAGAACAACTGCTGCAGAATATATAACCAAACAGGCACATATACACATAAAAATATAGGTGTATGAATATACAAACCACTGCTTACTATCAATAATACCGGGACTCGGCGTGTAGCCGAGTGGTTACAGATGCCACACAATACACATGGGTTCGATCACATGCCTTGGGCTCACCAAGCCTTCCATCCCTCCAGAGTTGGTAAGTTTGCATCAAACCTATCCTGAAGGATAAATGCACCAACATGACACATCGGTAGGCCACCACGAGTCAATGTCTAGTTCAGAAATGCATTCATTAACCTCTGGAGATGATTAATGAAGTCGAATGTATGACAGATTCTCGGGGATTGATCTATGCGGAAAGCTTTATGTTTTTATCAATCCTTCTTTTAATAACTGTTAATAGTATCATACGAAAGCGAAGGACTCCTATCCAGGACTAGTGTAATCTTACTCTTTTCTTTTGAGGTCAGCACCCTGTCTGTAGCTTTGAACCTCTTCATTTTAGAGCTAAGCAGTGGGAAATCATTCGACGAACAAATTCACTCCAGAAAATAGTGTACATTTCTGCAGTACAAAAGTGGTAAGCTTCAATGTAGCACAGTTCGAGCGATCTCTATGAACAAGTGAAAAATAAAGAGATATTAAGGAGCTTTTCAATATACAACCAATACAGCGGTAGACAATATATGACACACGACATGTGCTTAGGAGCTAGAGGCTGAATTAATACACCTCAGGTCATTCACCTGTTGCTGTTTGGTCGACAAGCAAAATAGAAAAAACTTCCAAAAATCTCTGAAAATAGTGTAAAAAGGCAGATCAATCACTGAGGGATGCGCCACGCATCCGACTCCGTCGAGCATCGTTAGAGCTGCCTAAATGCATGTCTGGGCTATACACTGACTCACCCTGGCCTACCGATGTATCGAGTCAGTGCTGCTATCCTCCCTTCCAGACAGCTGTAAAACCCGACTTTCAATTTCCTCACTTTCAATGCCTCAGCATGAAATAATCTTTTGAGAGATGGTAGAGACTGAGACTTCGTGATGTCAGGCACAATACGTCCGATCTCTCGGAAGACACGTGGTGATGAACACATTGGCGAAATGGGCAAAAGACTTGGTGTCCGCATAGGAGAACGAACACCCAGATGAAATATCGAAAACTCGACCGTGTACTTCTCTAACCATAAACATGACAGAAGTACACAGCAAAAACGATTAGGAGATGGTGATCACAGTTCTGGTGTAGGTATCAAAAGCGTCAATACGCAAAACACATGAGGTTTTTGAATAGACTTAAAAATCGAAAACGATTACAAACTGTCAGAAGTGACATGGTGCTTCGTCTCAGATTGATCCTCTGATCTGAGTACGGTTCACTGTTCACAGTGGGTGAACAACACACCATTGACTTTACTCCGTGCAGGGAGTCAGACGGTAGGCCATCGTAGTAGGTGGACCCATGGAGTCGTTTTTAAACTACGTTTTCGTTGGAATTAGGAAATACCAACGGAATAAAAGATCTGGTATGGTGACGCACAACTAGGTTCTGAAGAATCCGAAATCGCCGAAAAGTGGGCGATCGTATATCGACAAGAAGTGCTACCTTAAACAAGGACAGTTCGCAAGATAGTAAATGGATAGCTTTGTCGCAAAATTTTGGATTCAAGTATGATAAAATCGACGCCAAACATTTCTTCATTCAATCCAGGTTTTGTTACCGAAGGAGTTCGTCAGAAGATGGAAGGTTAAACCTTCAACAGAACTAAACCAGAACTACTTATATTCACAGCAAATTACTAGTGAGGAAAGCGGTACGGCGTGTTTGTACATGCGATTGAAAGCACTGGTGATTCCCGACTACTTCTTACTATGTCAGATTCATTTTAAAGTGAAACATGCGAGGTTGAATGACCGACTTCAAACTTTGACAAACGTAATGCTCCTGTTACTGACGATTTAATTATTCCACATGAACTCAATGACAAATACAGGAGTAGAGTAATCCTCTAACAAAAGATTAAAGACGAGAAACGAGCTTGTTCATAATGACGACCTATCTTGACTTGCCCAGTAACTGGGCACAATCGTAGGAGCTGGCAGTGGGAAACTCGAGGGCCAATGGCACGTCTGACATTATTTGATGACGCGCGACAGACGCATCGCGGTCGCGTCGCATGCTCGCGGTCGTCGACGTGGGGGTATTAAGCACAATGTATAATGCTGTTATAGAAGCTGCATTCCTTTCAGTCGGACGAATGCATTTGGCTGTATTGTCATTGATCTGGATGGATCCAACGACTAATCGCCGTAATCAGAGCCGTCTTGGATGGATCCTGGGCGGAATGCGGCAAGCAATTCTCCACGACCTACAACATCCGGCGTCCGCTTGTGGTGGAAACCTGCGAAGGACATGTCGATGGGGAGAACAGGACTAGATCGTTGGATTGAGTACGATTTCACCTACGATCAAGTTTACTTTTGCGGGATAGCGGTTCCAAAGGCAAGGTGAAGTGCTGGTGATTACACGGCCTGTGAAAAGGCCATTCTACTTTTTTAAGGAAATTGTTCTAATTCTCACTAAGAATGTGCACTAAAATGGATTGTTTTCCTTACTACTTGGTCCAGGATGACGTGACACCTCAGTGGCAGAAGCAACTGGTTTAGTTGGTGGAATTTTTCTGCAGATTTCTAACCTCGTGCTCTCTCTCAGTAAACCAGATCTGCTCACCTACCCTAGATAGAAGTGGTTTCAATTAGCTACCAAAATCGAAAACGATGCTAACTTTTCCAGTGAAAATGTTTAGAAATGGAAAGCTGACTTGGTTCTCTAATGGATTTGCACCAAATCGTGGTTGGGAAATGATCTCACTTGTGAAGCGAGATTTACAACAGGATATCTTCCTTGCAGTAGGGTTTCTAAGTTAAA